CCTATAAGCGCAGTACCATCACAGCCAAGGTAGAAAGGAAGATAAGAAGAGCCGAATAGGGAAAGCCAGTTTGGAATACCTTGTTGATTTGCACGGAAACCAAGCTGCGCTTCGTCACTTCTAATGTAAACTCGACGCTCCTGTATTGCGCAGAGACCTGGAAAGAGACACAAGCCATATCGAATAGGCTACAAAGCTTTTTCTGAGAAGGTCCCATGCAGAGAGATCCTCGAGATTCATTGCCCAGATAAGGTCAGTTGGAGCAGGAGAGAAAAGGAGCACTTACTTTCCGAGACAGTAAGTCGGAAATAAGCTTGAATAAGTCACATACGCGAAAAACAGCCGTAATACTACCAAGCAGGCCTTACAATGCAATCCTCAGGGCAAAAGGAAGGAAAACCTGAAGAAGGTCAATCGAGGAAGAACTTAAAGAAGCAAACATGGAGAAGCAGAGAAGTCAGAGGCAAACAGAGTCCGCTGGTGCTGCATTGTCGATGCCCTTTGCACCACAAGGGGCTTAAAGGAATCAATCAAGTTACAGCAATAGAATTTTGTAAAACGCAAGACAGGAATCTTACCTTTCTCACAGTTCTTTCCCGTGTATCTTTTTCCACAAAGACACATAAAGCTATCCGTCTCATAAACTGGTTCGCAGGTTCCATTGTTCTGGCACGGTCCACTCGAGCATGGCGACTGAGAGGAGAAAAAAGCTTCTTTAAAATGTTACTTTGCCAAACGTTTGCAAGACCTCGTGCCCAGCAGGGGTACAATATGTTGTCTTAAAATGTTATGTGCTTTTAGGGCTGCGTTATCGGACAGAACGTGTCATTTACGCCAGGTATTTGACCGTTAAACTTAAATGAATTCCTTTAACCTGGATATCAAAAACAAAAATCAACAGTTACCCAACTTTTATTCATCTAAGCATTGAAGTAATCTTTATGCTGTTGTCGTTGATGATGTTTTCCATCTCGAGGTTTGTTATGGTTATTATATATTGGTCGCAGGAGCTTATTTTTCCCAAAATGACTCATGAAAAAAAATTGAAAGTTTTATATGACAAACTGACGAATGAAAAATTCTTATTGACCTCCATCTTATGAGTGAATAATCCTTTCTTCATTTCGAAAAAGTTTTTCAAATGCCCTGTGTCCTTCAGCTTTCGTAATGCACATGATAAGCTACTGTTTGCAGGCTTCGCTTTGTTTACATTTCATCATCATTTTTTTTGACAGGGCGTTTTATTAATAGGTTTTGCAATTTAGGTTTGTGTAGCTCACTGATCATGTTTCACATATACTTATGTATATTAGCATTTGTAATTAGTTCTTTCTTCGGAATACATAAACATTTTTTTTCTAAATGATATTTTTTCATTTTTATTTGGCCTTTGAAGTTAGAAAGCTAGTTTCTCCTAGTGTTTTTTTACTTTGGTTTTCCTTCAGCCCGTTAATGCGAGTTCTAACTCTTGACATAGTCATCACAGAACATTTCGTTTCACAGTTTCGTTTAAAGTGCATTACATGCTCGAGGGATCGTGAGTAACCGCGTAATGCTTAATTAACCTACAAGTTAAAGTGGACAAAATATTGATAATCAGACTTGAAAGTAAAACCAATACAATACATATTATACTTTTGTAATTTA